CTCTCTCCTCTCTCTCTAATTATATAAATTAAAAAAAAACAACCAGCGATAATGCTTTGTACTGCCCCTCAATAATACTTCAATTCTATGCCCTCGAGGTGTAACAGCGCCATAGAGGAATAATGAAGTAGTATAAGTTCACATAAGTATTGTCGTGATGGTAACAGCTTATGTGTCGCATACACTGGTAAATGGGATACGCCAGCGGCCATAGACTACATGATATATGTTAAGATTCTCAAGATGAAAAGGAATATATATTATATGCGACTTAGTTATGTATTTATTCATTTAAACAAAATTACATAAGAGAGTAAAATCATATTTATTTAAACTAGGCCTATAGTTCCCCGGCGAGATTGCCGCTGTGCTAAGTGTAGTCAATACAATCAAGAATCGGCACTCGCGCCTTCATTGAGAGATACCCTAACTAGCTGCTCCTGGGAAGTTGCTAAATAATTACAGGCTAAAATCCAAGTAAGTATATTTCAGGCAGGCGATTACATTTCGCTCAGACGCTGTGAGTCAAACACATGCTGCATTGCAGGTTAGGGCAGGCAAACAAATTATGATTAGAAGAGTGCCAGCACGGACGAGCTTGCCCCCGTGTTTTTCGCCTATCCACGGTCAGCATTCACTGATTCAGGCCTTCAGGGTGCTAATAGACCAGAGCCTGCTTTAGGAAAAATAATATGATTTAAGGAGCCTGTAAACCTTTGTCTCACACAAACATTTGCCGTAAGCAATTAAACTGTGCAACTGTCGCCTCACATTCACACAGGTTGGACTCTCATAATTAGCAAAACAGTTCGTCCTTTGTTAGAACAGTCAACAAATCAATGTTTAACCCTCCTCTGAGGGTCAAAAGGGTGGGATTACCCGAGCACTTACTCTTCGCGATAGTCAGCGGAAAGATACATTTCCATGGTCCTGTTTGTCAATAAAGCCATGAAAAATGGTCAGGGTTCACCGGCTGGAATAAAAAAAAGTTTTTCAATCGGCTGATGCCGTCCAGAGCGCAGCCTGCAGAAAATGTCCTAAAATCTGCCCTTGCCCATTGCCTGACCAGTGTGATTCGCATTGCGAAGTGACTGCTTTTCCTACCATGATGCTATACACCGCAACTATCACGAGCCCTGAGGTGAGCCGATTCTGTGCCGCAATTCTGCATTTCCCTCCTATAACGGCTTAAGTAGGACGGGATGTTGACCTTTGACCTTTGGACCCTTTTGGACACCGGCAGCTGTCGAGCATCCTCAACTCTGTTTCGTGATGTGACCCCCCTGACGCCAACTTTCGAGATCCGTACGGTCGACCGTTTAGAGGGTGGGGTGTAGGGTGGGATGCGCCCAACTTTGACAGGTCGGCGACAGACGGACGGACACACGCTCAATGCGATTCTAAAGCTGCATCGACTATGTCAGAGAGCTAATAAACTATCAATAGTGAATACAGAACCAAACAGGTCTATAGGCAAGTCAGTACATATAAGAGTAATAGTATCAGTCAAAATCATGCGAAACACCAATATTTTCTTAACTTTTTTCCGACCTTTCTTCTATAATTAGTGACATATATAATACGAATATCAGAGTTAACGAAGTGGCCAGATAACGACAAACTGAATTCCGCTCTCGAATCTACCGATCCTCGCGCGCCCACGAGTCGGGGTGGTAGTGGGGCGGGGGAGCGGTGGGTGAGTGGCGGGGCGGCGGGAAGGTGGGGTGGTAAGGTGGGCCGGGGGGGGGGTGGTGAGTGAAGGCCCGTGTGGGGGGCGAAGGTCGGCCAACGCTTGGACTGGATGTTAGCTAGACATAAAGCGAGAGGGCGATCAGGTGTTCAATGACTGTGCCGGGAACGTGCTCTGTAATTATACGCCAGCCCACGCGCAGGAGTAGGTAACGCGCTGCGAACGCGTAAGAGAGTATCGCGTGCGAAGGTTTTTCGACTCCACCGGTCCGTGGCGCTCGTGCTTGTTCTGAAGTGTGCTCCTCGGCGCTCCCACCTCGGCTGGCCTCTCTGTCAAACGTGGCTCCTGGGCGTGGGAGGTCCTGGGGCGGCGGAAAGGGTAGTGCGATGGCCTCATGTGCGCCTGCTCATGCGGTGGAGAGGCGGCGGACCACCTCGTCATGTCCCTGTACCAAACGCGAGACAACAATCAGCCACCGAGTGACAAGTTCCGCGGCGAAACATGGTGTGCCAAATACTCGTGCGTATTGTTCGGAATTGTTATCGGAAAACACTGGTTTGTATCAGTTAGGCACTCCGCGAATTTCACTCTCGTTAAAATGATTAAACTATATAAAACACAGGTCCGGGTGAGTGCAGGACGGATGGAGATTTAGGGAGATCCAATAGCCCTCTATTGCCATATCCTTGACCATTGCGCTTATTGTAATCCAGACCTTGTCTCTATAACTCGTGCCTTTTCTTTAGGACATTAGCGACAGATCTGGTGGGGGGGCCTTGGTGGTCGGAGAAAACATCGGAAAGTTAGAGTGGCTGGAATGTTAATGGCTAAAGGATAACACTTAAGACTAATGTTAATGTAACGAGCAGGGAGCCGTTGACAGAAACACATCGCCAGCTATTCAGAACTTACGCATAACAGGAACTTCATTACATTGCTGCTGATTTGGATGAGAATCGATCCCAAAATTCAAATTCATGCACAATGTTATTGTTCATCACAGAAGCAATTATGCCATATCATGATGGCCTAAACACATATAACATAATATGTTTGATGAAAAACGACACGGTCTCATGAATTTAGTCTGCAACAAGACAATTCTGCGGGTACACGTGATGTCAGAGCATCGAGGCACGCGGGAGAGCCGTGGCAAGCGCGGTGTGCGGGGAAACAGTTTAAAACAAAGGAGAACAAATGCCATACGCCATTTTGTAAAAATGCTTTGTTTGTTTTTCGATGTGATCGCGTAGGTAATTGAGGTAGTGTTTTGATGTTTTCAAGAAAAACACACATTTTTATTCATTATTATAAAATAAATATCACCTTATAATTGTAATTCGTTATGTGTGAAATGTGTTAGTTTGTCAACTTCATTAGTAAAGTGTACTGAGAATGGGTCTGGGGGGCTCTTCTGTGAATGTTAAGAGGAGTATTTCCTGTCGAGGATTTTGCGTGATTGCTGTGAGAACGTGTTGTATGTGGTTCTGTCAAAAGGTTACGATGTGGAGTTTAATGTTAAGACTAATGTTAACTCATTGTGTTTCTGACAACGAGCCTCTGAGCTTGCCTTTCCATCTTGAAGAGTTCCATGCTATAAGTATTATTAGGGAAGATGGCCCAAACTCTCAACAACATATTCTAGATCTATAGCTATCGTAAAAAACGTTCGAAAACACTTTGTCTACTGAAACCAACAATCAAAGATTGGCTTCTCTTATACTTACAAATCAAATCATGGTGACGTGGTGGGTGATGTGGGGGGGGGGAGTGGGGGGGGGGAGGTTGGGGGATGAGTGCCGGAACAGGGAGAAATGCCACTGGAGCGGGTGACTGTCCAATCGAGGATTTTCGGGAGAACAGCCAGCAGAATCTCCTGATTTGGACGACCCCCCAATGATGCACTGAGTGAAATGCAAGCGACCTTGATGAACCTCTTACAGCCTAAGTGGGCTCCCATCTGGAGTTTTTAAGAGTGCGCCAAGACTTCAGCGCCAGATGGTTATGTTGGTAGGCCCCTGCCCATGAAAGTGTGTGTGTGTGTGTGTGTGTGTGTGTGTGTGTGTGTGTGTGTGTGTGTGTGTGTGTGTGTGTGTGTGTGTGTGTGTGTGTGTGTGCGTGCGTGCATGCGTCTGTGCGTGCGTATATATATATACACATATATACATATATATATGAGGTACGCGCATCCCATACAGGATAATTTTCCAATTATAATAAGTGATCAGTTTGTAATCGTGTTACTATAGACGCACCGGTTTCTGAAATCGTTGGCGCACAATGTATTCGACTAACAAAAGAATCGCACGGGTGCCATTATAGGAGCATGGCTCATGTAGCTATATATAGACGGCGTGAGAGTGGAGTTTATTATTAAAGACGAACTCAAAAAATCATTAAAACCTAAGTTATTATGAAGATGCCTCTCTGGCTTTGCAAGCCTCGTCTCGCCTTTTAAATACACAATTGGTGACATCTGTCACGTGTGTCTCTTATCATTGGGATTCGCTTTACATCAAAATAATACATGAAAACTAAACCGAATACATAGGTCAATAAACTAAACCCGTCAATATAGCACGGTATCAGTTCAGGGTCACTTTCATAGTAAAATAAAGAGCAGATTTTAAAAAGTAAATTTTTCTCCAAACGTATGGATATCACCTCATTTTAACCAAATTAGTTGGTCAATTTGGCAGAGTTCTGTAGCAGTGAAGTCACCATAGATGACATGATGAAAAAGACGAATAGCACCTGATTTTAACAAACTTAATTCTTTATACCATGTTATACATTATATCCGAATGTATACCCAGACAAATAACAATTTTAAAAACACAAATTAACGAAAATGAACCACTAAAAGTGTGTGTTGTGCTGAGTTTGAGACTCAACTGACAACTGAGTGCAAAATATAAAAAAAGGTATAAATTTGGCATAGTTTAACTTATGGTTTAACCTGGTATTAACAAAGTTTTAGCTTTTGTCCGCTAGATGGCTACATTCGCGGGAATTCGGCTCTTCTACTTTTCTGACATTACCCCATTGCTAAAGTTATCGCCCCTATTAAGGCCTATTTATCGTCATTAATTTATATCTACAAATATAGGTGGATTTAACAAATATGGATAAGCCTATGTTGGTGTTCGACACACAGGCTATACACTGAGATCGGTGGCGTGGGCTTGGTGCTCACCGCGGCGAAGATTACCGCGTCAGAAAACCGGCCTCTTTTCTCTTATAATAATAATTATAGATGCCATTATATGTAATCTGTTCAGTTTGGCGCTGCGGCAGCAACAACGTACAACAGTTTGTGCTCTAGAACTATACAGTAGGTAACCCGACCAGGTTGTGTGACTAAGTTCTAACCCTAGCAATACCGTTTCTTGGAGCTATACAGTAGGCTGCTATATGAACTGGCAATGAAAAGTATTGCGCAGGAATTCGTCATGTTATATGAAAAGCGAGCAAATGACTGGAGAATGATTATATACGTGTAATCATGTGTGTGATATGCGCGTTCACTATCTACGATATTACCACAATGTCACGCATCAGCAGCAGATCGAAGAAATGCCAACGTTACAACAGCATCATCGATCCATCGGTATAATCGGGAGTGAATAACAACAATTGTGACTTTATTCACCACTGATAAAATGATAGCGTCCAGTCAGTGCAAATGTCAAAGGCACCATTTCCCATCGATGTCCACAGCAGAGTTGGCGCAAATAAGCATCAGTTGTGTGTGATTTGTTTCTGATATGAGACGATTTGAATAACACATACATAAATTTAAACAGTATACCCGATGCATAATTTCGTATTAACATTTTATTATGTTACAATATTAATAATGATGGTGATTAGCCCCTATATGTACAACATTTCACTATAAAATTAAATAAAATTAAACGATTAAGTTATCTGATACATATCGTTTGTTAAACACCAATGCCGTAAAACGATGTTTGCAATGAGAAAAATCCGTCAGAGAACAGTATGTATTTTTTCGTATATGTATTAGAAAATCACCATTATTTATGAAGTGGAATCATAATGACATGTAGTATTTTTAACTGAATAACACACCATTTAGGAAAGATATTCATCATTGCTAGTCAATGCAGTGTGTTACAACATCAATGAAGCATTTCGTTCCGATATACGGTAAATAGATGTATACATACCAAGAGCTCATAATAGAGAGCTATTATAAGCTCTTGATACATACTAAGCAAATATATTGATAATATTATTACGATCGTATATATACATAAAGATACAACTATATAACGAAGGCGAATTAGTACGTCGCTGCGTGGTGTCTGCAGAATTACATTACAAACATTATGACTCACATGTCGTACGACAACTCTATTATAGACATTTCTTACAACTAATCGAATAGTAATGAGTATCATCACAGAAATTTTAATTAACCGAGGTATTTTATATTATATGCACTCTAACACCCACACACAAGTCGATACCTTGTCAACAAGGATCAATTGACTGCGGAATTCGACTGGAAAGTTGCCATACAAATGCACAACGCAACAGTATGGTAACCATATATATATATAAATATCAAGAGCTTATAATACTCTTATATAAGCTCTTAAATATATATAGACAGGTGGGTAGGTAGATGATTTACATTATATCACAGCTCATCGCTTTGTCTCGTAGATCGCCTCTAACGTCTAGTTTGCTCATATAAACCCGCTTCACCAAGTCGCGTTGTCTCTGTATGACACTGCTCCTGTCCGACAGTTTCCCTATCGCCGCTAGAACAGCCACGTCAAACGCCTCCTTCACCGATGCCTCCGATATGCGGGCGCTAGTCTCAATGTACACTTTTGCGCCGATCTGTTTTGAAATCTGTGTTCCCTGAAAATGCAGATGGATGCATATTGCGGCTAGTTGCCTTTCGCGGGAGTAAGTGAGCGATAGAAGGCCGTGGCTGAAATTTCATCAGCTCTTTTAAAGTTAACTATACCAATCGCGGTACTAATTATATTGATCAATCATGTGACTATCACATCATCACAGTTTTCACATGATAATGGCTGTGATTGTCTGCAACGAAATAATTTACGCTGTGCGTGCGTACAAAAATGTTCGGCAATGTGCGCTCAGCAATTGTTCACCCGCACATTGCCAGACAAAAACATTTGTTCGGACGAACATTTGTTCGGGGAAATGTTCGGCAATGTGCGCCAGGCTTTAGTCAGTTGCTGCAAACGACTGACTTTTGATTACAATCGATCATTGAGACATCACTAGTGATTACTGTTGAGACAAACACTTATTTCGTCTAGTACATGCACAAGCCTAATGTACATAGCATGTGCGCATTGCACACTACTCACCCAACACGCGGCCGTACTGACCAAATCTCTCCTCTACCTCTGGTTTAGTGATCACTTCTGATGGAAGGCCACCGATGAAAACTCTAGCATTCAGTAGCTTTGGATCTCTACTATTGGTCACATTAGATATAAGAGCTTCAGGGGGTGGGCTTCCACTCCCAGACCTTGTAAAGCTATGACGACGTTTTCTGTCTGTGGGCATCTGGATTAGACATGTGGAGTCCTGAAACAAGCAAAAATAGCCGAGTGACATGCTAGCCACACAACACGATTGCATCAGCTGCACGCAATCTATTATGATTAAGAGGGCAAAGTGCTCTAATAGCTAAATAAATTTTCAAAATTTCGATAAATGATTAAATGTATTCCCTGAAAAATGTATATTCAAAAGTAAACTTTTTGAAATGTACGTTCCGTAATTAAGAGCAGCGTCCCATAAGTCCATTGGTATTAAGTTTAAAGTTAAACTATGTTATAGTATTCAAGTTTTGTTATTAGAATGTATACCTTACTACACTGTAAGCACTAAAATTTTACAACACAAAAGACAATATGCACATAAACTACCATGCTTCCAGCAGAATTTGTAAAATTCAAAATGGCACAAGTTGAAACAATAGGCACTTGGGCTAACTTATTTCATAATAATTATCGTAAATAATTAGGGATCGAATTTATGAACTCTATCATGCCCAAAAATTCCACGCAAATGCAATGTCAACACTCCTCTACAACACACAATCTTACTCCGCACTCACCACTTCTCACAAATCAATCAAAAAATATCTGGTGGGAAAGCATGCCTGAGAAATTTTCAAACTATCCTGGCACAAATACACGACCAATCACCTCTACTTCGGTATCTGTGCATATATATATGCAAGTGTCCACCTGATTGAACTATCACCATAGCACTAGGTCAGTGCAAATTACACCTTGAAATCTTACAAAATACTGCAACAAACTTCCATGAGCACCATGATTGGCATCTGTGGCAATGTGTACTAAAGCAATTAGAGGTTCATATCGAAAAATCCCTATCAGTATCATTTAGTTGCTTAACCGATGAATGTAGTCGTAGTCGAGACATTAAATTTTGCACCTTGGCAATTGCAAATAATTTCGTACTTGGCTTGGAGCCGAGTGGCAGGGCTTGTGTCGCGCTGTCAATAAGGGCTAGCGCTGGAGTTTGGAAACCAGGCTCAAGTTGGAGCTTGGATGCAGCGCTTGCGACCAAGCTGTGTCACGCAAAATCACACAAAGCCTGACGAGATTCTCGCGTTCGCGAACTTTGCCCAGTAATATAAATAGCTGCAAGTACAGGGCTATATAGACTGCGACTCGCTCCCACCTCGATTACCCATCGATTGACTAAGCTAGGCCGAGAGGTGGGAGCGAGTGCCAGTCTATGGGCTATAGGCGGCGCGCAGGCGGCGCACTGCTTTCCAACTTCCGTACGAGCCTCGCCATTGGAACGTTGCAAAAACGTTGCAGCATTGCGGCGCAAGAATGAGGGCACGAAGAGCGCCGGTAGGCGATTTCTGATTCTGACAGCCATTTACATTACTGAGCAAATTTCGCGAACGCGAGAATTTCGTCAGTCTTTGTGTGATTTTGGGTGACACAGCTCGGTTACGAACAGAGACAGTATGTTTTTATAACAAGTGAACACTGTTTTTAGACATAAAAACAAAGATGGAAGCTGTTGGATGTGTATTCGCACAGGCACTTGAAGCGTTTCATCTGTAAACACATGCCGCCGCCATTGCTGCTGCGCTGCACACTGACACATAAATATATAGCAGGTAAGAAAGCGTGCGCAAGAAATTCGCTCGAGGCTCGCTGCATTTCACATGATTATAACACAAAAACTCAACCTTCCGACTCCATCTTTGCTGCTAATTGAAGAACAGTGTTCACTTGTTGTAGAAATATTATGTCTCAGTTCAAAACAGAGCTGTGTCACGCAAAATCACGAATGAAATCATGAAATTCTCGCGATCGCTAACACTGCGAACGTGATGCTATATATTTATGTGTCAGTGTGCAGCGCAGCAGCAATGGCGGCGGCGTGTGTTTACAGATGAAACGCTTCAAGTGCCTGTGTGTATTCGTGCTGTGAAAGTGTGAAATCAAGGGAGCGTCGAGCGAATTTAGGAATCCCGCTCTCCTACCTGCTATATATATATATTATATATATAAGTGTCAGTCACTCAGTGTGCACACTGCAGCCGCGTGAGAAATGGCGGCAGGCAGTGTTTGCTGCACATAGTGACATAGGATTTGGACGGAATTTACAGGAAACTGTCGGCAATAATAGGTGAAAGAGAGTATAGAAACATTAAGAATTTGGTCAGTAAATAGATTTCGTATTTAGTTAGCATTATATTTTATTGAAACCGCTTCAAGTGCCTGTGACTAGTACTAGTACTAGTATAGTAGTAGTACTAGTAGTAGTAGTCTACACGCCGCCCGCGTAAGCCGGTGACGAAATATTACGATAGTCGATACGTCGATAGCGGTACACAATAGATGCAAACTATGTACCTATGCGAATAAAACTGCCGACTGCATATTAACAATATTAATATTACCTCATATAAATTCACCAACGCACAACAAATAATAAATAGTGATCACTGGAAACCGACAAGAATGAAAGTTAATTCTGCAATGGCGCACGAAGACAGATACAACAAGAAATCTGGTTGGCGTTCATGTCACATGACAACCAAAAAGGATGGTCTTTCCATCGTCTGTCAAGTCGTTGCAGGTCGTGGTCTACCGTCCCATGCATTTACATTGGAGTAATCATTCTGAATGATTACGGTAATCAGAATGATTTCTCCAAGCATTTACTTATTAATTATTGTTCGTTCTTGATGTTATGACTTTTCTCATTTTTCGCTATTACCGTCTTCTATTTTTTGTTATTTATTGTTGATTTTTGCATAATCGTCGTCGTCTTCGTCGTCGTTATTTTTCTTCTTCTTCTTCTTCTTCTTCTTCTTCTTCTTCTTCTTCTTCTTCTTCTTCTTCTTCTTCTTCTTCTTCTTCTTCTTCTACTTTTTCTTCTTCTTCTTTTCTCCTTCTCCTCCTTCTTCTTCTTTTCTTTCTTGCTTCTCTTCCCTTCTTTGCTCTT